ACAGCCACTTAAGGCTTAGATATAACAGAGCTCAACTCTTTGAGAACCCGTGGGTTTAAGCTATCTAGTCTAGGTGCTTTATTCACCTTTATTTTGTCTAAATGTCTCTGGACCATGGCAGTTTTGAGCCATTGTGGATCATTTGGGGATATGTCAATACTATCCACCATTAAGAACTCCCCCATGCTCCTTAGTATAAGAAGAGCTAAAGAAGGTATTTAATACATTTGCTTTCTTTTTGTCCCCAGTCACCCTGTGTTTTGTAAAGGGCCTACATGCTCAGACTTGATCTTTTTACTGTTAATACTGTATATTTAAAAACATTTGAGGGGTTTGTTCTGTTATCTATACCATGTTAAACCAAAGCTAATCCAAAATTACAAATTTGAAAAGAATCAAGTTGCATTTATAACAATAGTTTCAAAATGGCAAGCACAATAATATAGAATTGAATATCCAAAGAGGGTGCAAAATAAGGGAACTTACCCTCCTGGAAAATTTGTGTATATGTCTTATATTTGATGAGTACGACAGATCCCCTCGTACAGACCTTAGGTGCTGTAACTATAGGAGAAGAGCGGCAAAATGATCTCACTTACTTTATATGACAAGTGATACTTTTCTTCTAATCCAAACAGATGACTACAGCATATGAATCATGTGCATGATGTACAGTGGGGATCGAAAGTTTGGGCACCCCCAGCTAAAAATTTGTATTAATGTGCATAAAGAAGCCAAGGAAAGATGGAAAATTCTTCAAAAGGCATCAAATTACAGATTAGACATTCTTATAATATGTCAATAACAACTAGATTTTATTTCCATCATTTACACTTTCAAAATAACAGAAAACAAAAAAATGGCGTCTGCAAAAGTTTGGGCACCCTGCAGAATTTATAGCATGCACTGCCCCCTTTGCCAAGCTGAGACCTGCCAGTGTCATGGATTGTTCTCAATCATCATCTGGGAAGACCACGTGATGTCAAGCTCAAAGGTTTTAAATGCCCAGACTCATCTGACCTTGCCCCAACAATCAGCACCATGGGTTCTTCTAAGCAGTTGTCTAAAAAACTGAAACTGAAAATAGTTGACGCTCACAAAGCTGGAGAAGGCTATAAGAAGTTACCAAAGCGTTTTCAGATGTCAATATCCTCTGTTCGGAATGTAATTAAGAAATGGCAGTCATCAGGAACAGTGGAAGTTAAAGCAAGATCTGGAAGACCAAGAAAAATATCAGACAGAACAGCTCGCAGGATTGTGAGAAAAACAATTCAAAACCCACGTTTGACTGCACGATCCCTCCAGAAAGATCTGGCACACACTGGAGTTGTGGTACACTATTCCACTATAAAGAGATACTTGTACAAATATGGTCTTCATGGAAGAGTCATCAGAAGAAAACCTCTTCTACGTCCTCACCACAAAAATCATCGTTTGAACTTTGCAAATGAACATATAGACAAGCCTGATGCATTTTGGAAACCAGTTCTGTGGACCGATGAGGTTAAAATTGAACTTTTTGGCTGGAATGAGCAAAGGTACGTTTGGAGAAGAAGGGGCACAGAATTTAATGAAAAGAACCTCTGTCCAACTGATAAGCATGGGGTTGGATCAATCATGCTTTGGGGTTGTGTTGCAGCCAGTGGCACAGGGAACATCTCACGAGTAGAAGGAAAAATGGATTCAATAAAATTTCAGCAAATTTTGGATGGTAACTTGATGCCATCTGTGAAAAAGCTGACGTTAAAGAGAGGATGGCTTCTACAAATGGATAATGATCCTAAACACACCTCGAAATCCACGGGGGATTACATCAAGAGGCGTAAACTGAAGGTTTTGCCATGGCCTTCACAATGTCCTGACCTCAACATAATTGAAAATCTATGGATAGACCTTAAAAGAGCAGTGCGTGACAGACAGCCCAGAAATCTCAAAGAACTGGAAGACTTTTGTAAGGAAGAATGGGCAAAGATACCTCAAACAAGAATTGAAAGACTCTTGGCTGGCCACAAAAAGCGTTTACAAGCTGTGATACTTGCCAAAGGGGGCAGTACAAGATATTAACTCTGCAGGGTGCCCAAACTTTTGCAGACGCCATTTTTTTGTTTTCTGTTATTTTGAAAGTGTAAATGATGGAAATAAAATCTAACTTTTGTTGACATATTATAAGAATGTCTAATCTGTAATTTGATGCCTTTTGGAGATTTTTCCATCTTTCCTTGGCTTCTTTATGCACATTAATACAAATTTTTAGCTGGGGTGCCCAAACTTTCGATCCCCACTGTATGTAGTACACTACAAAACTGTCTATGTTGTGAGGTCTGAATTGAAGAATTGACATTACTCTGCAAATAACTACCAATGTCTTAGACATACATTTTCTAGACACCTTGTCTAAATTTGTGACTTGATATGACATTGTAACACGTTGTGAAATCTCCAACATTATCAGGTCTAAATGGGGGCTTGGTCTACAGTTTGCAAAGAACCACTGAATTTCCACAACTGTTTAAAATATATGTATAACTCTGTTTACCTGTCTAAAGGCATGTACCAGCTTATAATAAGATGAACAGCTCAAATGTTTTGAAATAGGAACATTTACAGAAGCTCCTCTGCTAACACATAGAATGGGACCAGCAGTCACACCGATAGTCAAGTCCTACAGGCTACACCAGGAGAGCCGCTATCTGCATGAAGTATGTGGGGCTCAACTGTGAGTTTGACAGCTACTGTAGGTCCTGCTCTGTGTAAAACCCCAGCTTGTACCCTTTCTTTCTAGTAATGTGCTCATTAAAATTGTCCTGCTGCCAGCAATATTTACACTATTGTATTATCTGCAGTTTCTTAATTATTGTAGTAAACCCCTGTCTGCACTCTTTGGGTTGATTCACTAAAGGCAAATAGAAGGTTCAATTTGTAAGAGATATCATTTTGCCCCTGTACACATCGTTGGTAAGATCTCATCTGGAATATGCAGTTCAGTTTTGGGCATCAGTTCACAAAAAAGTATATCGGGGAACTGGACAAGTACAGAGAAGGGGAAACAAACTGATAAGTGGTTTGGAGGAGCTCAGCTATGAGGAAACACTGGCTGAACTGAATTTATTCTGTTTTGAGAAGAGAAGATTAAGGGGGGATATGATCAACATGAATAAATACATCAGTGGTTCATATAGTGAACGTGGTGTAGAGTTATTCACCTTGAGGTCATCACAGAGAACAAGGGGGCACTCTTTACATCTGGAGCAAGATCTCCAAATACAGAAAGGCTTCTTTACAGTAAGAGCTGTGAAAATGTGGAATAGACTCCCTCAAGAGCTAGTTCTGGACAGCTTAGTGGATTGTTTTAAAAAAGGCCTGGATTCTTTCCTAAATTCACATTATATAATTGGATACTAATATGTATAGATAAAGTTGATTCAGAGAATATCCGATTGCCTCTTGGGGGATCAGGAAGGAATTTTGTTTTCCCCTGCTTGAGCAAATTGAATCATGCTTCATTGAGTTATTTTCGCCTTCCTCTGGGTGGTGTTTGGTGTCTTTTTCTTCTCGTTTGAACTGGATGGACGTGGATGTCTTTTTTCAACCAGATTAATCATTTCACTATGTAACAAGTCTTATTTTAATTGAATGTTATTAAAATTACCTTTCTGTTCAATCTGCAGTTCAGTAATTTTCTTTAAAGTGCAATTAAATATGGCAACCTGGAAGCATTCTGTACACATGGTGTACAGAATGCCCCCAGTAATGTCATTCCCTGCTTGTATGATTGGCTCACTGATTTTCCAAGAGGTCTATATTAAGATACAAGTCAGATTTTAGGCATCCTCTGCAACAAAAAAATCATTTTTGGTGAGATACTCCAAAGGGAAACCACATCTAAAGGGATACAGACCCTGCCACTTTCCTCATTCGAACCCTGTAAGTGCAGCAGCTGATTGATAATTATGAAATCACTCCCATTCAAATTGTTTTGCATATAATAATAACCGCTTCCCGCCCGGCCTATAGCCAGATGGCGGCCGGCAAAACACCTTGTCCCTCCGGGTGGATGCCATATGGCATCCTTTCAGGCATGCGAAGTTTGCATGCCTGCAGAGCCGTGCAGCGGTGCGATCTGTCACCAGCCGTGTACCTCGGACATGGCCTATGACATGACAGATCTGAGTACCGGCCCCATTGCAGTACCATGTGACCTGCTGTGACCAATCACAGCAGGTCACATGACAGTTGTATACAATGGATGGCTTCCTGTCATGCCATCCATTGTATACAAGTGTGGCTAGCTGTGAATGGTCTCAGCGATCACATCCACAAGCTGGGTCAATCACAGCCCAGCTGTGTCATGTGATTAGCTGTGGCCAAATCACAGTTAACCACTTGCCTACCAGGCACTTATACCCCCTTATTTACCAGGCCAATTTTCAGCTTTCAGCGCTGCCGCACTTTGATTGACAATTGCGCGGTCATGCAACATTGTACCCATATGAAATTTTGATCATTTTTTTCTCACAAATAGAGCTTTTCTTTTGGTGGTATTTAATCGCCACTGGGCACTTTACTTTTTGCGCTATAAATAAAAAATTGCCAAAAATTTGAAAAAAAAAAAAAGTTTCTTTGTTTCTATTATAAAATTTTTCAAACAGGTAATTTTTCTCCTTCACTGATGTGCGTTGATGAGGCAGCACTGATGGGCACTGATAGGTGGCACTGATGGGCACTGATAGGCAGCACTAAAGGGCACTGATAGGCAGTACTAATGAGGTGGCACGGATAGGCGGCACTGATAGACAGCACTAATGAGGTGTCACGGATAGGCGGCACTAATATGCAGCACTGATAGGCGGCACTGATAGGTGACACTGATGATGGGTACTGATAGACGGCACTGACTGGCATCACTGCTGGGCACTGACTGGCGGCACTGACTGGCACAACCGCTGGGCACTGACTGGCGGCACTGACTGGCAGCACTGCTGGGCTGCACTGGTGGGTGGCACTGGTGGGCAGCACTGGTGGGTGGGCACAGGTGGGTGGCACTGGTGGGCACAGGTGGGTGGCACTGCTGGGCACAGGTAGGTGGCACTTCTGGGCACAGGTGTGTGACATTGCAGAGTGGCACAGGTGGGTGCACTGCTGGGCACAGGTGGGTGCACTGCTGGGCACAAGTGGGCGGAGCTAGTGGGCGCACTGCTGGGCACAGGTGGGCGGAACGTGCGGGTGGCACTGCTGGGCACCGATCATCAGGGCACTGATCATCAGTGCCCTGATGATCGGTGCCGATCCCCGCTGTGACAACTGCCGGTTCTCGGCAGTACTTTCCTCACGATCTGACAGCGTGAGGAAAGTGCAGCCGAGAACCGGCACTTGCATTTCCCTCTGATCAGCGTGTCATTGGACACCGCTGATCAGGTGGTAAAAGGCCGCTGTAATTGGCCTTTTACCACATCACGTGATCAGCTGTGTCCGTAGAACACAGCGATCACGGAGATCGCTGGGTGCGCGCCCCCTGGGGCGCGCAGGAGAGCGCGTTCTGGGGGGACGTCATATGACGTCCACTCAGAACTGGCCGGCCGCAGTGCAGCTGTCATTCGGCTATCTGCGGTCGGCAACATTTAAGAAAAAAAAAATCCTGAATGAATCGATTTCATTCAGGTAAATGCTTGCTTATAGCAAAGTAATTTTTTGCTATAAGCAAATTGTGTAAAAAAAAAAAAAAAATATAGATCACTTCCCCAAAGTAGTACAATGTTACTATGGTAACATTATACTACTTTGGTCATAGTGAAATATAAAAAAAAAAAAAAAAAGATATTTTTAAAATTATCATTTTTTTTTTTTCGTACTGTCACCAGTCAGTGTCCCTGATTACCGCCATGCCAGTTATATGATGACGCTGTACTGCACTGGTGACAGTATGTAAAAAAAAAAATAGTGAACATAATTTTTTTTATTTTTTCATTTCCGAAAAATTATGACAAATAAAAATTACAACTTCAAAAAACTCGCCATGCCTGTTATGAAATATGCCGGACTGTCTACTTTGCAAAAGGGGTCATTTGGGGGATATCTGTACTGTTCTGACATTCTTGGACCTCAAGAAATTAGATTGGCTGTCAGTACTTCAGGATTGATCGATTTTCAGATATATACCATAGTTTGTGAACTCTATAACCTTCCTACAGACTAAATAATACATCCTAATTTCGGTTATTTTCACCAAAGACATGTAGCAGAATACATCTTGGCCTAAATTTATGAAGAACAATTATTTATTTGCAAACTTTTATAACAGAAACAAAGAAAAACGTGTTTTTTTTTTAATTTTGGGTCTTTTTTTTGTTAATTTAGCAAAAAATAAAAAAACCCCAGTGATGATTAAATATCACCAAAAGAAAACTCTAGTTGTGTGAAGAAAATGATAACATTTTAGTTTGGGTACAATGTTGTATGACCGCGCAATTGTCATTCAAAGTGTGAGAGTGCTGAAACCTGAAAATTGGCCTGGGCAGGAAGGGGGTAAAGGTGCCCTGTATGGAAGCGGTTAATCATATTATTGGTAACAAAGTTTGTTAAAATCCTTGAACTGTAGATAGATCACCCAGAGTGGAGTTACGCTTTAAGGAGTTTGATGCCAACTAATCTGAACATTTTACAGTACAACCATGTGCAATGATGATCAAAATGGGAGAATAGTCAATTCACAAAACTATTGACCCTGCTATGTATTTTCATGCATATCTGCCTGATCTGCAGAAAACCAGCAATACAAGAATCCAGATATATTAAAAAGGGAGCAATTGAGTTGCCTGTTTTGTGAATCTATTTACTTTTGGGCATGAGTTTTCAAGGTTTACTTCCTGGCAGAATAAGCTGAAATGACTCATCCTCCTGTGGGTCTCACTTGCAACAGTGATGTAATCTTAATGTGCTGAACCACGTAACAACTGCCTGAGGAGGACAATAGGGAATAGGCTGAAATAAGTATATATATATATATATATATATATATTTGTATTTTTTTTTCTGTTGCTGTTATCTATTACGTGATTTGCATTCAGCATGCTGAGTTGCAGAATCCCAGAATGTGAAAATCATACAGCTATTTTACCTAAATAGTTTATATTTTGCAAAATTACATTACCATTTTGTGGTTTAGTTGAAGCTGAACTTCAGACAGGGATAAAAAAAATACAAACTTTTTTTAAATCCATCTAGCGTAAGTACCCGGATTTGTTATAGTTATCAGCCTCTTGTAATCCCCTACACAGCAGCAGTCTGGGAAAGGGAGGGTCAGAACTGGAAGGCAATCAGTTGTCTTGCTTTGACAGGTACCCGCTCCCACTTCTGGTCCGATTGCCTAGGCGATCGGAAACCAGAAGGTGTCCTCCCTCCCTGTAGTCTTTTGGGACACGTGACAGGTCCCAGAAGACTACAGGACCATTCATGAAGCGCAGCGCTACTTGCACATGCTCAGTGGGTACCCGGCTTTGAAGCCGCAAGCTATCACAGCAGTTGCAGATATGCCCACACTGAAAATGCCGGCCTCCTGGAATACAGGACGGCCGGTGAAACAAGCTGGGGGACACACCACGGGACCGAGGGACAGGTAAGTGACTGTTTTTTAAAAGTCAGCAGTTACAGTTTTTGTAGCTGCTGACTTTCATTTTTTGATAGGTTGAGTGGAACTCCACTTTAACTTGAAGCTGGGGTTACAACTGCAAGGCCCATAGGTACCAAGTACAAGGGGAGGGAGAAGATATAAAAATGAAAAGTCCTGGAAGAAGCCAGGAGGATGTAAGAGAGAGACATGATGTTCTGTGTCAGACCAGGCCAGGTGGACTACATTCCATGTGTCCAGATCGGACCTGAAGGGTGGACTGTCAAGCTGCGTCACAATTACTGAGAAGATCCAGGGAGGAGCTTTTGTTACCGAGAACAGCTTCCAAGTTGTGTTCTTCCAAACTTGCTGAATCTGTTTAAGGTGGCCCCTCACCGTTCACGGAACGTATCAACATCCAAAGACTGCCACATAAGGATTGGGTGAGAGGATCTCTTACCCAGATAGCAATTTTGACTACAGGTTAACTTTCCTTTGCAACTTAGACTCAGGGAGAACCATCACTCTTTTTTTTATTTGTTCCCCTAAGGGTGCTAAACACTGTACCACAGTGCTGCCATTCCCTATTGAAAGCAGCAAGCTTTCCTCCAGACTGCTGCTTCTGTTTACACCCTTGATACTACAATTTACTGCATAATACCCTAATGCTAACTACTTCAGATCCCCTGCTCACAGTGTACTCCCACTCCCTTGCATGTACTCGCTTTCCCCTGCCACTCTTAAAGGGGCACACCCACCAACTGAAGATAACCTTTTCTCTTTACCTGTTTTTGGACCCTTTGTTCTCCAAGACATCACAGTATATGTGCACCAACATGATAGGGTCCCACCTGAGCCAGCAGAAGCTAGCATCCAGAACTTTACAAATTTTGTGGCCTGCCTGGAGGCAGAACTGGGTTGCAGAGAGTGAGTCAAACTCTAGGGCCTAAGCCTAGACCCTCTTGTCTGAAAGTCATCAAGAGAATTAGTCTTCCCATTTATTGGTCACTTGGGGTGTAATCTCTCTGGCACAGAGCTACTGTTTATACTTTGGTAATGCAGTATACACTGAGTTCGTCCTTAGAGATACCTGGGTTGACTGCATTGTATCAGTTATTGCACTGGTCTTTTATGTGTCAATACTGACCTACTGATTTACTGTGTTATTGTCCACTTTGGTTTGCAAATACCCTGTTAATCTTCTAATGACCAGAGTGTACTATTTGCATGTGACCACTAGGAGTTACCAGCTGAGTTGTTTTGGTGGTTGTTCTGGCTAGGGCCAGAGAAAGACCAACACTACTAGAGGGTCCTACAGGGGTAGCCTTACACAAGGAATATGATAAAAGAAAGAGAGAACAGAGCGACAGGGGGGTAGGCTGCTACTACTATGTCAATGTCCAATCACAGGTTGGGGATAGGGAGGTGACCTAGCTTCATTGTTTAACTACAAAAAAGAAAAGTCAGGTCAACAGGCCTGGCAGCATAGCCTGCCAGAGCTATGTAAATTTCAAGATAGGAAGGACAAAGAGTTCCTTTCATCTTGGCATGCTGACACCACACACATCAATACGGAACATCTCATTTTAGATATCTGAAATTTAACCACTTCAAGTCCGGACACTTTTACCCCCTTCCTGTCCAGGCCAATTTTCAGCTTTCAGCGCTATCACACTTTGAATGACAATTGTGCGGTCATGCAACACTGCACCCATATGAATATTTTAGCTTTATTTTAGACAGATACAGCTTTATTTTGGTGGTAATTATTCACCACTGGGATTTTTATTTTTTTTTTCTATATAAATGAAAAATCCAAAAATTTTGAAAAAAAGTGTTTTTCTTATACAGTTTTGCAAATAAATAATATTTCATCATAAATCTTGGCCAAAGATTATTTAGTTATCTTTTTAGTAAAAAAAAAAAAATAACCCAAATTAGTTTATAACCAAAAATTATAATTTTAATAAAACATTTTTAGTTTTTTCGTGCGACGATCGGAGGGCAGGAGCGCGCACAAGCAGGAGGCAGGGAGGCCATTTATAAACGGCCACCCGCCCCTGCACTGCTACCGTCCGGCCATTTATATACAACAGCCGGACGGGAAGTGGTTAAGGAACAGTGTAGCAAAGAACTACATTTCCCAGAGGAGCTGCCTGGGAGATTAGACAGGAAGTGAGAGGGGAGAGATTTGAGAGGAGTGCACTGATTGTGGGAAGACCAGACAGGGCCATGGAAAGAAAGATAGGAGGCAAAGAGTCTGCTGATTGCCGTTTATATACAACGGCTGGACGGGAAGTGGTTAAATAAGACCAGTTCCACCTGCATACTCTCTAAGGAGATTCTAATGAGTAGCACCTATTCTGGAACATTTTATAGATTGGAAATGGTGGTAAAGACAAGGGTGTACTTACATTTTGTACATGAAATATCTGCATTACTGTTAACCTCCTTAGCGGTCTGATTGTTAAACCCTTCCCAGCCAGTGGCATTAGTACAGTGCCAGTGTATAGTATTATCAATGGTCACTGTATTATTGTCACTGGAGGTGTCAGTGACAGTTAGTCAGTTTCCCTCAGCGTTAGTGTCAGATTGGCTGCCGCACTATTGCAGCCCCATTATAAGTTGCTGATCACTGCCATTAGCAGTATAAAAAAAATAAATACAATTTCCAATATATGTCCCATTGTTTGTAGATGCTATAACTTTCACGCAAACCAATCAATATACACTTTTTTTTTTACCGAAGACATGTAGCAGAATACATTTTG